AAAAATGGGCCAAAGAACTCAACAGACATTTCTCCAAGGAAGACATACAGATGGCTAACAAACACATGAAAAGATGCTCAACATCACTCATTATCAGAGAAATGCAAATCAAAACCACAATGAGGTACCTAACCTTTTTTATAAGGAAACTAGTCATGTTGGATTAGGGCCTGCCTTTTAACTTGGTTACTAGACCCTATCTCTAAATAGAGTCACATTCTGAAATACTTGGAGTCAGGACTTGGACATATGAATTTGGGTTGGTGAAAGGAAAAGTCAGGTCGCACAGTTGTGTCTGACTCTTTGTGACCCCGTGGACTGCAGCCCACCAGGCTCCTTCATCAGTGGGGTTTTTCAGGCAAGAATACTGGAGTGGGTTGCCATTGGGTTGGTAGGATGACACAATTCAGCCCATAACGATGGTACTTTATAATATTTTAATTTGCCAAAACCCCAAATGTGTGAAGCGTATGTTCCTTTGAACTTTGAAACAGCACAGTGAGGACCCAGAGTGACAGTAAGTCCTCGTTACCTGCTAGCGGCCTCATGTCTTGTGCAAGGCAGAACAAGAAACTGGGCCTTCTAACTTGAACTTCACTGCCTTTCTTGCTCTGCAGTACTGCGAACTGAAGTAGAACTTGATAACTGTACAGCTTTTGCATGCTCGGGTGTGTTAGCCATGCATATTTTGAATCTTGATCTGTAAAGTTTAGTCAGATTGCTACTGTGCACCCCTTAGTCCTGGGCTTCCCCAGTGGCTCAGCAGTGAAGAATCCGCCTGCAGTTCAGCAGCCACAGGAGACGTGGGTTCGATCCCTGGGTTGGGAAGATCCCTTGAAGGGAAAGGCTACACATTCCAGTATTCTTGCCTAGAGAATTCCATGGACAGGGGAGCCTGGTGAGCTACAGTCATGGGGTCGCAAAGAATCAGACACAATTGAAGTGACTGAGCACACACACATGCATTCCTTAATCACAATTTCCTGATCTTCCTTCTTTATTCTTTGAGCAGTAGGTCAGAGTCTTCTGTGATTGGTTAAAAAAAAGGCTAAAACTTAGTGGATGTATATGCTATTTTTGCCAAGTGGGAAACTGAAACATATCAAGGAGTTTCTGGAGGTTGTGTCATGAAAGAACACACCCCTAAAGACTTGTTTTTAGTGAAGGATAATGTTATTTGCAGTCTTTCCTGGTGGCTCAGGTGGTAAAGAACCCTCCTGCAGTGTGGGAGACCTCGGTTTGATCCCTGGGGTGGGAAGATCCCCTGGGGAAGGGAATGACTGCCCACTCTAGTATTTGCAGTACTGAGGATATTTACCATTCGGTCACTGCCAATGGAACAGATGTGGTGAGGAGGATGAAAGCAGGACTGCTGCTTTTGTTTCTGCTTTTCCCAAAGTCACTACAGCATCCAGTGTCGGCACAGCCTGAGTTACCAGTCCCTTTCGGCATCCTGGTTCACGGATCGCCAGCTCTCTCCTACCAAATCAGTGGGTTAACATTTCAGTAGTCAATCATTACAGTTGGTGAGAGTTGACTCAAGCCTGCCATGAATCCGGTGACTCTTTTTCTCTTAGCTTTCCTGTTAGCAGTGCCTAAATGTCCCTTAAAGACCCTGGAAATCATTCTTTTGTCTCATGATTCTTTCTTCTCACATCTTATGAATATCTTCAGCATGTGACTGTTTCAAAACTTTCTATATTTACAGAGATACAACTGATTACTTGTATCAATTGAATAGTCTACTTAAAAGACTAAAACATGAATGTCTTTAAAATTTGTAAAAAAGTTATTAAAATTCAAAGGAGGCAGTTTGACAGATGTTTGTGATAGATGTATTAATGTCTACCTTTTTTAAAACATGAAAATAATTAAAAATATTTTCTTTTGAAAGTTGGCCAGGGATACTTTGCCCTGACCCTTTTAAAGGGAAGTATGTGACCTATGATCTGGATGGAGATGTTGAACAATATCACGTAGAATTCCTGGGTGATCCCCGTTCGAGATCATGGATAGATGCAGCATTTGTTGGACATTATAGTATCACATTAAAGGTGGGTACACTAATGTCAAAACTTTGTTCTTGTTCCACTTGTTTTTAATGATGACCATTTTCTCTCATATTCTAAAAGATATATAGTTTTTTACTTTTATGTTTATATGAACAAAATAGTATGTATTATTTGTTTAAACTCAAATATTGGTATTTTTAAAACAGCCTTTTCAAAGAAAGTATGGATATAAAAATAGCCACGAGGTAGTTTTAAATTTTATTTCTCTAATGGCTATATAGTATCAATCAACAGAGCACTCTCCATAATTGCCTTTTGAAATAGTTTTAAGATTATCATTCAATAACTTTTCAGTTCTCTTGAGAAAACTCTTAAGTTATAGCCCTAGCTCACAGGAAAGATTAATTATGGAATGCAACCAGATTTTTTCAAATTTCAAACAGAATATTTCATTATACTAACTCCTCCAGTATTTTTTTATTCTTTTTAAACTTTTTAAATCACAGTCTACAATTAATGAATAGACTGAATTCTCAAGTTGATCAGAGTAAGTGAATTGAACCTATTTTCATGGGTTTGGTTTAGTTGTTATAAATTAATTCAATTATCTATATCTGTATTCTAATACTGAAACTTTTCATCTGCAAACTATGCTTTCATTAGAAATCTGATTAAAAAGTAGATATCAAAAGTGTGAATGCCTTTGACTCAATTTGGATGGTTCCTATTGTAGACTGAGAAGTATATATATATATATTCAGATATACATATAAATGTATGTACATTTAAGACACGCCATTTAATCCACAGTAAAAGTAAACCTGTGGAAATTTGAGTTACTTGCCAATGGACTTAACTGAATCTCTGGCCATACTGTATCTTAGTTCCATTCGGCTTGAAAGCAGTGGGTAGGGAAGGCTGATTCAGTGGGATGTTTGTGTGGAATAGCATCGCATGCATTCCTTTTTGGTGGCCGTGAGCCAGTCGTGTTGGTATGAGGCACCTCTCCGCTCACTTGTTGCCTGGGCACTTCTGACACCCTCAGGAGACAGGGGGGAAGGTTCTCCCTCTGTGCCCCTCCCCTTTTCTAAAAGACACAGGAACCTTCCAGCTTCTCATGGAGCACACCTTAGAGCCCCAGCTGTTTGACAACTGTGATAAAGAGCAGAGCATTCTTAAAAAATTATATTTAAACATCTGTAAAAAATCAAAGTGTAGACAGAAAACCACAAAATTCTGTAAAGCAGCTAACCTTCATTTAAAAAATTAATAAATTTTAAAAAAAATCAATGTGTATTTTTAGTTGTCTGAACTAGTGTTACTCTCAGGATTTGAGTTCTGTCAGGATCAATTTAAGTAGTCTGATTCCAGTGAGCATACTGTTGGTCCTTGGGACAAGGGAAAAATCTGCTGCAAAATAAAACTAAACTCAAGAATAAGGTCTGAAAACTCAAGAATAAGGTCTGAAAACAAAACTAAACTCAAGAATAAGATCTGAAAACATTAAAGCAAACTTGGAAACTTTTGCAAATACCAGGAATTTAGGGTGCTTAAATTAAACAGGTTCCTAAAGCAAGAATCACAACAGGAAAAATAAAGCATTTGTTTCATGTCTCTGTCCACCACTCCCGCAGTTGGCTGGTGCCTGGGTGAATAACTCCCTGCATACCCATGGACTCTGGGAAGGCTCTTGCCTCTGCTGTGATTCACAGTACCTACCTATAGGCTCTTATCTCTTACTCTCTTCTTGTTTGTGTCTTCTTTTTCCCTTCCTTTCTTGGAGCTGATAAAATGAGAATGTCTTCTTCTGTGTGTCTCTTCTTTCAAGACTGAAATTTTAGTTTCCCTTTACCTCAGTTGGCACATGCCTGGCTGTCCTGATGTGCTCAATCCCCTACTCCTGGCTACCTAAGGATCTCCACTTGCCAGGAAGGAGACTCACAGATGACTGACACCTCATTATTCCAATGAAAAATCAGGGAGCGGAAAGGAAAGAGGTCACTCAGCTCAGGAAATGCTGACAACCATGATAGGAAAATGGTCAAAAGTCATCCATATAAGAAATCATTTGAAAATGTATAACATCAAACTATGTAATACCCAGGGGTGACTGAGATATCCCTGTTCCTTGGAGATGGAGATAGTACTGATTCCAACCTGCATTTCAGTTGCCTCAGCTTCCCAGGAATTTAATACATTATGTCTTCTCTTCACTGGGGCCCCTTCCTCCCCAGATACTGTCTCTGCACTGTACTACATTGATCCAGATACTAAATTCACACTCGTGCTCCCATAAAAATATCACTTACATGAAAATAACATGTATTAGACAATATAGACCTTCTTCAGGATTTTTGTAGAAGAGAAGGAGAATGGTTGCACATTACACTTACCATATCAGCTCCTTTTCTAAAAGCAGACAAACAATGATAAGCATGTATCTCTCTCATTGCTCAAACTGACTACATCTTACTTCATATATTATTTCAATATTAATTTCTCTTTATTTGTATAAGCTTAGTTTAACAAGTGATTAAATACTATTTCAGAGTTTTCACTGACTGTAGATTGTATCTATCTTGTGTGTGTTTTATGGTGGGAGAGGAATAAACTCTTCTAGAAAGACATTATATGCATTTATGAGAAAATAAAATATTTTTTCAGTTTAGATTCTGAAAATGTTAACTATTCTCCTTTACTTCATGTTTGTCTAGGCTTTTGCATTTTTTTTTTTGGTAGTCACTAAAAAGTTGATATGTTTATGGGACCACTGACATTAATTTCATTGTTGAAAGCACAACAGAGCTCTGTCACTGTGAATGAATATGTATATGAGTGTATGGTTGATAAACTTTTCCCCATTAAATAAAATTACTCATTGATATACTGGGATACATTTTAGAAAAAAGTTGAAGACTATATTCAGATTTTGTATTTGTAACTTATGTTAATTTACTCATACATTTTATTTTTTCATTTACTAGAAAATCAGTAATCTAAAGATGGGTGATATTCCCTTCCCCTTTTTAAAAAAACATTGATTCCCTTATGGTATATATTCAGAATACATAATTACTCAGAGAAAATAGACATGGCATGTGCTAGATAACTATTAAAGTTAATGCATGGAGTACAATGCTTTCCCCAATTAGCACAAATGTTTTTTCTTTTATATTTAGTAGGTCCATGTCTGCCGAACCCATTATTTGCAAGTTTTTTCTTTTGCTCCATAGACTACATGACTTGGTTTAGCATTTCTTAAGCCTGGCTTTGCATTAGAAGGCTTTATAAAGTGATAACAACAACAAAAATAGCAGCAGCCAAAACACAGCAGTGCCAGCACTGTATTCTACTGTATCACTTAACTTAGAAGCTTTTGGATGAAGGCCAAGTCTCTCAGATGAGTCTGATGTGCGTCTCAGAGGGAGACAGAGAGAGAGAGAGAGAGAGAAGCACTGACTATGTTTTTTCAACTCGAGACATCAGAGTTTTGTTGGTTTATTTCTGTGTACATGCTGAGTCACTCAGTCGTGTCTGACTCTTTGCGACCCCATGGACTATGGCCCTCCAGGCTCCTCTGTCCGTGGGATTTTCCAAGCAAGAATATTGGAGTGGGTTGCCATTTCTTCCTCCAGGAGATCTTCTTGACTTAGGGATCAAACCTGCATCTCCTACTTCTCCTGCATTGGCTGGTTTCTTTACCCCTGAGCCACCTGAGAAGTCCTTGGTTTATCTCTGCTAGTGCAGTGATATAACTGTGGTCATGGCTCACTGTTTCAGGACGCCTTTCTCCTACTTCCTTTGTTAGTCTTTCACTTTGGTTTTCCTGGAGATGATGCTGACTGCCATAGGCTCTCGTGTCTAAACCAGAAATGAGAGTTTTTCTGAACAAAGCTTTAAAGTCATACTTGTTATTCAACACTATACATAATTTATGGATATTGCTGATCAAACTGATGTATAATTTAAATGTAATATTTATAGCATGTTTTAGTTGATCATCTATCTTATAGGTTATTACTGGACATAAATAATGTACTCCAACCAATGCCTGCTTGGATTATACTTTTCTAGTTCTTTATACTGCCAAGAAAATGTAAGTATTGCACTCCTGATGCTGGGAGGCTCTTGTGGTAAAATTTAGCTTTTTTCATCCATGATGTGAGCAGAGTTTTTTTGGCTATGTATTTCAACAGTCTGCTCTCTCCTCTGTGGAGGATATACCTGTAGATGTGCAAGCACTTCTTTGGGTACTAGAAGTCATTTGAGTATTTACCCGTTGTAGTGTGGAGCTGCCTGTGTTTTGCAGGGAGATATAAAAGGGAGCGATGTGGTATTGCTAAATGTGTGCTCTGAAGCTCCTAGAATTCTGCTTCCTGATTGGGGTGGTCATTAATATTGTTCACCAAAATGTTCCAGGTTTCTGCCTTCCTGTTATAAAGTAGAGATGCACGTCTGATATTCCTGTGCAGGGTGAGGCCAAAGAGTTATGAGTGAGTGAGAAATATCTGAGCATATGACTGTGTCAGTGCAACATCCTCTCGACTTCTCTCTTGTGGCTCCATGATCGATAATGTTTGAAATTTTGGTTTGCTGCTCTCTCAGCCTGGATCCCTGGACCACTCTTAGCAAAGGCCTCCAGTGCCAACAAATAACAGATATGCAGTGTGAAGAAGAAATAAACTGGTCTTATGTTAAGTCCCTAGGATTATTCTGACAGATACACTAATGATAGCAGAGAGGACGTTACAATTCTTTGTAAACTGTGTCTTTAGAAGAACCATTCCTGAAGCTTCAGTACTCTTCACAATATGGCCAGATGACTGAGGTCACATTACTCTTAATTTCTCCAGTCTGTAAATAGAAATAACACAACCTATAGTAATTTAGGGGCTTCACCAATGACTCATTGGTAAAGAATCCACCTGCAATGAAGGAGCTGCAGGAAACTCGAGTTTGATCCCTGGGTTGGAAAGATCCCCAGGTGGAAACCTTGGCCACCCACTCCATTATTCTTGCCTGGAGAATCCCATGGACAGAAA